ATAAATTTCGATTTCGGAGTTGCCGAGTAGGTGCATGGAAATTTAATTTTGATAAAAGTTCTGTGGAGTCAATGCGTTGCGAAACGATATTGTTTGCAAATGAAACCATTGCATATTCACGACGCTCTTTTAATGTTTGTATGTTGCAGCGTGCTTCATATGATGGAAGAGGAAATGATGTCCAACCTAATTTACGAAGAGCGTATAGTAGAAATTGTTTTTGTACGGATTCTAATCTTTCTTCGTGCATGATTGAAAAAGGAGACCATACAATGCTGCAATATTCCAGTATTGACCTCACATAGGCGATATATAGTGTTTTAATTGTGTATGGAAAGTTATAGCAAAAGCGCTTGATAAAGCCTAGCATGTTATTTGCCCTGTGAATAATTGTGTTGTAATGGTCTATGAAAGTTAGTTTAGAGTCTAAGATAATTCCTAAATCCCTAACTCTTTCACATTTTTCTACATTTTGATTTCCTAGTGCAATTGAAATATTTGAAGTTGTTCTTTTCCTGCTAAATGATATTAAGTTACATTTTTTTTACATTCAATTCTAGTAGACTTTATTTGCACCATATGTACCATATGTAGAATATGTGTATTTCATTCCGGAATATATTGATGTCTTCTTCATTTCTTATTTCCAAAAAGAGCTTCATGTCGTCGGCATAAATAAGCAATTTAAGTTTTTTGAGAATGAAAGCAATGTCGTTTACGTATAGAATAAAAAGAAGAGGTCCCAAATGAGAGCCTTGGGGGACGCCTGAAGTGACTTGAATTGGACTCGATTTCTTTCCGTTGAATTTAATTATTTGTTGGCGGTTAGTTAAATATGATTCAAGCCATTTTAGGAGCCCTGACTCAAATCATATTTTTTGCAATTTAAAAGGTAGCATTGGTATGTCTATGCGATCAAATGCCTTGCTAAAGTCTGTATAGAGAGCTTCTACGTGGTTTCCATTATCCATGGCATTCAATGAATAGTCTATAAATTCAAGTAAATTTGTCGAGGTCGAGCGACCCTTGAACAAGCTGTGTTGCATGTCAGTAATTCTATTTTTGATTTGGAGAAATAATTTTTCGTTGACATTTGCCTCGAAAAGTTTAGGAATGCAAGAGATAATGGCTATACCACGATAATTACGTACGTCAGATTTTCGGCCAGATTTAAAGATAGGCACTAGGGATGAGCTTTTCCATGTTTTTGGGAAGGTTCCAGATTCCAGGGACATATTAAAAATCCAGAACAATGGAGCAGTGAGTTCCATTGCTAGACATTTAATAAATACTGAAGGAATTCCGTCAGGTCCAGGACCTTTTGAGGCGTCTAAATTTTTTAAAGCCTGCAAAATATCCTGCACTTGAAGTTGATTGAGGCCAATGTCCCTTGAAAATTCTGGAAAAAAAATGCAAAATAATCGCGGTCGCGATCTTCTTCAGAAAATGTCGTTTAGATTTCTTGAAAAAAAAATTGCAAATAGATTGCAGTTTTTTTTCCGAGCTATCACCGACATTTTCGTCGAGTTGCATCATTGAAGGAAAATTGTCAGATTTTAATTTGGTTTTTACGTAATTAAAGAAGTTCTTTGGACAGGACTTTATTTCATGTTCTGTTTTTGCATTATATTTTTCAAATGCAGTACTGATAGCTAAATTCAGTTGATCGCATATATCCAAATAAATTAATAAATTATTACTACTATTGTGTTTTTTTATAAATTTTATGTGCTTTTTGCTTCCGATTTTTCAAGTTTTTTATTTGTCTGTTATACCAGACTGGATTTTGTGTGTTTCTGTTGCGTCTTTTTTTTCTTCATAGGAATTTCTTCCGAAATTATTTCTGTTAAAATTTTGGCATTTCCTACATTCCTTAAAATGAATTGCCAATTGACACTGTTTAATTTAAATTTTATTTTTTCGTAGTCTGCTAATTTGTATTCAAAGACTTCTTCGTATTCGCAGTCGTTGGGTCTTTGGTTTTCATGCACAAATAAAGAATATTCAATTGCTGTGTGAAACGCTTCATTTTTCCACAGTGGATTTAGTGATTCGGTCACACAGAAATCTTCATAAATATTCGTTAGTAAAAAGTCCAAATAGCAATTTTGTTGGTTATGATATGGTTAATTTGGTTCAGTCCTAAATTAGCAGTTTTGTCAAAAATGAACTGCAATGTTTCATTATCCCCAACGACTGAGAGTAAGATACATTTATTTTCAGAGTCCAGAATGAAGTCAGCATTGCGTTGATTAAAGTCTCCATAGATGTGAACTTTAACCTCAGGAAGAAGCTCAGATAGAATTTGTTCAGCACTTTGGAAGAAGGCTTCATAAGTGCTTTTATGAGCATGGTCTGGTGGAAAATACACTGAGGCGAACACGTGCGTTTCACAGGCTGTGTGTGATTTCACCCAAATATGTTAAAATTCTGTAAATTTTGGTGTAATGATGAGTTCTGAGTTAAAATTGGTCGAAAGAGCTATAAGGACTCCACCGCCTGACTTCTTCTGAGTTGCATGAAAATTTCTGTCGTCTCTGAATACATTAAAGGCATTTCCAAAGATCTCTTCACTTTTCACGCTTTCGTCCCAGCTTGTTTCAGTTGCCAGAATGACCGAGAAGGATGAGCATAATAAATTTTGATAGATTTCCTTCATTTTAGCTGGGCTTTTCATGCGATTGAAATTTTGACAGTAAATCAAAATTTCAGTCGCATTCTGTTTATGTGAAGAAGTTGTTGGAAGTACGTCGGTTGATAAAATATTTTCATTATTATTATTATTTACACTTACATTTCCATTTTCTTCTGAAAGTGTCCGAAGAGTGTTGTCGTTTGATGAGGTTTCTTCCGAAGTGTGCGTCAATGTCGAGGAAAATTTTGGGTGCTGTAGAATTTATATGCGGCTTCCCGTGTGTGCTGCAGTCGTTGTGTGCGTTCACTAGATAAGAATGCACGGTGTGATTCCAGGTCTGCCAGGGCGTCAATGCGTGGGATTCCAAGTTCTTCGTGGACGTCCAGAAAAATTTCACGCAATAGTTGTGTGTCCGTTGGTAATCCTTCAGCTGCTAGCATTAAAGTTGAACTTGTTTTCGTTATTCCGCGGACACATACTGAAGGCGGTTGGTTATGCAGGAAAGACAGATAGGTTCGCACAGTATCCATGATTTTAGGGTTCCGCAGGCGTGCCTTCAAAAAGCGTCTGTCGCCGGCTGCAGATTGTTCCGTAAGCCTTACGACAGGCGGGCGCATAGGGTCTAGGAGTGGTGGGTCAGGTTTTTCTATGCGGTAAGGGTTAATAGTTTCCCCTTTTTGAAAATTTATAAATTTCGGTGTACTGTCTTTACTTGGTGGTCCTGAAAATTGTATGCGTGCTGCGGCTAATAATTCTTTGTCCAGGGGTAATGTCCATGTGATATTTCCATTCCCGTTGTTGTTGTTGTTGTTGTTGTTGTTGTTGTTGTTGTTGTTGTTGTTGTTGTTGTTGTTGTTGTTGTTGTTGTTGTTGTTGTTGTTGTTGTTGTTGTTGTTGTTGTTGTTGTTGTTGTTGTTGTTGTTGTTGTTGTTGTTGTTGTTGTTGTTGTTGTTGTTGTTGTTGTTGTTGTTGTTGTTGTTGTTGTTGTTGTTGTTGTTGTTGTTGTTGTTGTTGTTGTTGTTGTTGTTGTTGTTGTTGTTGTTGTTGTTGTTGTTGTTGTTGTTGTTGTTGTTGTTGTTGTTGTTGTTGTTGTTGTTGTTGTTGTTGTTGTTGTTGTTGTTGTTGTTGTTGTTGTTGTTGTTGTTGTTGTTGTTGTTGTTGTTGTTGTTGTTGTTGTTGTTGTTGTTGTTGTTGTTGTTGTTGTTGTTGTTGTTGTTGTTGTTGTTGTTGTTGTTGTTGTTGTTGTTGTTGTTGTTGTTGTTGTTGTTGTTGTTGTTGTTGTTGTTGTTGTTGTTGTTGTTGTTGTTGTTGTTGTTGTTGTTGTTGTTGTTGTTGTTGTTGTTGTTGTTGTTGTTGTTGTTGTTGTTGTTGTTGTTGTTGTTGTTGTTGTTGTTGTTGTTGTTGTTGTTGTTGTTGTTGTTGTTGTTGTTGTTGTTGTTGTTGTTGTTGTTGTTGTTGTTGTTGTTGTTGTTGTTGTTGTTGTTGTTGTTGTTGTTGTTAGATTAGAATAATTCTGATACTAAGCAGAATTTTTTTAGGTCAGCAGCAATGCGGTGATTCGTGTCCGTTTGAGAGTGGATTGCTTCCACAAGTTGCTCCTGTTGATGAAGCAGCTTCCTCACGTCGGCTTCCTTCCGTAAAATGTGCTGGCAGTTAGCACACATTGGCACCATGAATGCCGTGATAAAATGCTCCCGTTGTCGCTGTACTCCGACACAAGCAGCATGGTATTTTTTGTTGCAGAATTCGCACTTCCATAGAAAGCGGTCGTCGTTGATGCTGCATGATATTACACCACACGGCATAACTGCTTATGTTGTAAATATTCGACGAGATACGATATAAGGGACAAATGGCCAGCGAGACCCACACGCGTCGTTGTCGAAGTGTAAAAAAAAATATTTATATATATACAAATTACTTGCGGACCAAAATGCAAATGCGTCCGCGCCCGAAGACAGCTCGTGGCGAAAAAAAAGTACTACACGCAGTCGTTCGCTCACCAAAAAAGAATTGTCCAGGTTGTTGAAAACTCCTATGTGTTCCCTCGAAACTAGGGATCTAGATTTTATCTTGAAAAATTCAGTTTCTTTCAATTCTAAAAGAATAATACTCAAGCCGACTCGCTTATAGTTTTTTTGTGTAAGACTTTTACAATATAGACTTCTTTATTATGTTTTACGTTCATTTTCAATGAGATACAATAAATTAATATAAGTTAGCAAATGATACATACTATCCTGCCTTAACTGCGAACGCAAGGACTGTCTTATAAGTGTGCCGTCAAACAAAACCACCTATTTTTGATCAGTTGGGAATTAGGGGAGAGACTTTAACGCAAAATAATGACTCAAAGCAGCTAGCATTCTTTTTTTTTCAATTAAATACGAACGTTTATATTGCTCTAGCTACTAAGCTCGTCGAAAAACAATGTTCTTAAACTTGCGATGTAAATCCTATTCATAAGCTTGATCATTGCACTAAAAACTGGGAATAGATGCAGAAACTTAACACAATTCGAGACTGAAGGTCAGTATTTTAGAATATTTCTTGCTTCATGCTCTCTTTCCGGGACAATGCTATCTTGTTTCTGTACGCGTTTAGTTTTGGAACTTTTTCAATGAACGCGGTTTTAGCTGCTCGAAAAAACTTGTAAACGTCTATTAGGTTAGGTATTCTCCTTGCGTGCTTAACTCAATTACTTTTCCTGCGCAATTGGCCAAGGACGATGGAGTGAACTACAATGAATAAAGTCTACTACGTTTGAATCTGGTATGGTAGAACGTGTTCTCGCTAATGTTGTAACTATTAACAGATTGACAAAAATGGAAACGGATGCTAGTTGAGTAGTCGTGTTATCACGTTTCTTGTTTGTTTGCTAATCGCTATCTACAGAACAAATCTCAATTAACGCTGCTTTTAGTTGTTACTCCCAAACTGCTAGGGTACTGTTTTCTATTTGACGAGACATGTTCTAGTAATGGCCAATGTGCTTCTTTACTACAGATATTCTCCCGGACCGAACTTATCATCTACATTATCTGGTTGGCTATGGCTACTAAAATCTCTAGAATGCGGTTATTTCTCTTGTGGTGGACAGTAACTTTTACTTTTTTCGTTTCATTTGTGTCAGATGGAATAAGTTTATCGTTTATTTGTTTTTGTTCGGTTAATCAACTACGTTTGTCGCTACAACGAAAATTGTCGGGTAACGACGTGTTCCTTGGAAAGAAAACATTGCTTTTTTCGATCTTCCTTCCTTGCATTTTGTTCGAACTTTCTCACCTTTATTCGATCATAACAAGCCACTGTAAAAGCTGGTTAAAAATTAAAAACAAACGTATCAAGCGAAACGAAAACGAGGCACCCTGGATAAGAACGATTCGGCAAGAGCCGCATCTGCTTCGCCAGGGTACACTCATAAAAAGCGAAACAATTAACTAACTGAAAAACTTTCTGAATGTTTCACACGTTTTCTTCTATGGTTAACAATCAACAGTTATTATCAAACAATCAGATAAATGAGATTATTGATTTTCTACTAACTGTTACATTACACACACATGTTTCACGATTTTGTTTGCTTTTACTTTTACTTCGATCTCGTAAAAAGGGACGGTGATTAATTTATTCTTATTAGTGGCATCTTATATTTTGTATTCCAGCGAATCGAAAACTGATGGACTGTTACTTGGGAGTTGTTTTGTTTTGTAAGATTCGTTCGCTGTGTCTTTTTTTTTCGTACAGTTAGATTTAAATTCAGATTTCTTCTTAACTTTTAAAATAAATAAATGGCTCGGTGATTTTCTTCGTTACTTTTCCTTATTGTGTTCACAAATAAATTTGTTTTTTTTTTTTATCCTAGGTCTTAATCGGAATTTATTACTTTTTTGTCAGTTTATTTTGTTGGACGCTTCTGATTTGTTTCACTTAACATTGATTCATGATAGAAAAAAATATCCTTTTCCTAAACGTGAGGACAGAATTGTGATGTTTGCTTTTCGCTTTGTCACAGTAAATTTTTGTGATATTTTTTCCATACGGCAACAGTGTGTCGATAGGATGATGACAACTGGAAATTAATAACAAAAATCGAACCTAAACTGGGTTGGTAAAATTATTCGATCTAGAAGAGTTTATGTCTGTTTCCTCTAATATCTGATTCAAATCATGCACGTTGTATCGTCTAATCGGCAAACAAATCTTCTAAAAAGCGCGCATTTTAATTCCAAGGAATAGTCAATTTAATGCTTGATGTTACTGCTAAACCTAGTTTGCTTCAACAAGCTAATTTGATGCGGCTCTCTTTACTACCGGAAGCCGGCCAGCGATTACCAAAGTCCAAATCTAAGCTTCTAATAATGATTCACTATTAGTTATTATATTCTACATGAGCTACCACTACCAACTGCCACAGGGTGTATTAAAAAGCTACCAAATTTACACAGGTCATTCATAAGATACGGAACAGACTGTTCGGAACACCACGTTCAAAACTAATCTAGACGAAAAAATGTGAGCAGCGTGATGTTCCCATGTGACGCTGCTGGCATAAAAAATTGTTTCCGAAAAAGTACGAACGGAGCAAATATTTCTGTTAATTTTAGTCACTGTTCTAGATTCTAAAATAGATTTGGTCCAATTGTAAAATAGGATCTGAGAATGTTATCACTCTTCGCCCATGCAGTGTTGATTTTCAATCATCGATAATTTTACCATGAAACATGAATGACAAACCAAACGGAAACCATAAATGTAAAAAATGATCAACTTTATTGCACATGAATACAAACGAAAAAAAAAACGTTCTTCAAAATAAATATCTACAATTTTCCAATCTCATCAATAACATCATTGTTTGACAATAATAATATGCATGTTTGTCTGTAAGTAAATATTAGTTTTTCTCGTTGACTAAATCTACCTCGTGATCTCCTCAAGGGAAGCGACGAGTGAATTAAAAAGTTTGCATCTTGTTCATCGTTTCGCGCACAGCTTGCGTATCTTCTGTTTGCTGAAGACAGTGTTCAATCTTCCCCTTTTGTATCCCTAAACAAATAGCAATAGTAAACGGTTTGAATATTGTTAGCCACTGTTTCGAGTAGTAATATATTATAATCTTATCAAAATAAATTAACGATATACTTTCACACATTCGCCTTACTTCAAGTATGCACTTTCTTCTCTCGGGAAGACCCCGATATTTTTTTTTTCCCGCAACTCGACGTTTATCCTACAGTATTATTAAAAAATATATGCTTCTTCACACATTCGCACATTTAGTCTGGCTTACTACAGTAGTTCATTCGACCTGTGTATAGTACAAAAAAAAAAGAACAGGTGAGACAGCACCCACCTTGGATGTACTGCGGTAAACAATACAGAGCATACTAGGAAAACGAGAAAAACCCATTTTGATTGGATGGAAGGATTCGTATCCCCAAACCGTGGTGGCTTCCTTCTTCAAAAGGAAACCACGCAGAAGAGGAGTAAACAAAACAGAAAAAAGAAACGTCCTTTAGTGATGAAACTCAAAAAAAGTTGGACGATGTTCCCCGCCGGGAAGGCTGAGGACGGAGAGTTGGATCCTTACAGCTTCAGCAGAGTGTAAAGAAAGGCTAGGATCTTACGCTGTACGCTAACCTTATGTTAGAAGAATGCTTGGTTCGGATTGTTGCTGCTGTTGTTCGGATTTTGGTTGCTGCTGCGGGCGGGGACCCCGCGCGAGAAAGCCGACTTGCCGCCACCTCGAGCTGGCATCGCTGGTCGCCGGACGTGACGCATTTCGCTGTAAGTAGATGGAAAGTTTGAAATAATTATTACTCACGTCCTGCATAAAATTAGAACCCGAAAGTTTGATATGTCCCACGATAGGTTTTAGTCATCATTCGGAATTGGCCACTTCCCTGGGAACTGGAAGATAGGCCATTAATAAAACCACCATTCGTCAAGTATTGATTAATCATGAAGTTTGATATGTTGTTGTTTGATGGCTCGAGGATCTGTGCCTCATATCCGCCGAAGTTTGATATGTCGCACGATAGGTTTTAGTTCTTATCTGAAATACGCCACAAGCATGCTTGGCATGCACAGTTGTACACACCAACTGCTTATTTGTTAATAACTTTTCACTCAGTTGTTGAAATTTTATTTTCTTTAAAGTAATTGATAGATTACTATCATAGTCTACTGTAGACATGCAAAGAGCAGGTAAATCTTATCATTTCAACACCAATGAATTTTTACACTTAAAGTCCGAGATGTGCAGCGAGAATTTTTCACTTCATTTTTGTAACGCAAAATCAAATACAGTTTATTACTAGAATTAAAATCTCATGAGGTATCTATAACAAGCTTAAACTCTATTCTATCAACTGCTTCAAACAGAACTATGTTTCGTCAACTATGTGCAAAGTTATTAGCAAATGAGCAGTTCGTGAGCAAAACTGTGTATGCCAAGCATGGCCACAAGGCATCTTATCAGACCTTCAAAGACCAACCTGGTCTATACAAGGTGTAGAATTGTAGGCCTGAATCCAAGAAAGGAACAGCAACTTCATGCAAACGCTTATCCAGAAAGTGTTTACTCTGACGATTGAAAAAATAACATCGATTTTTTCTTCTGCTAATCATTTTATATTTAGCGTATTCGTTTATGCCAGTTCAATTTGGTATAAAATGGCAAAATTTTTGACTACGTTTTGAAATGACCGTTAGCTTAACAGTTCACAAAAATGTGTACAAACAAGCTTTTTTTGTGTTTATGCATACACTGGACATATCTAGATTAACAGGTCAAGAGGTACTGTCCGCATTTATCAGCGGACGGGGTTCCCGGCGAAGGAGGTTCCGCACTATTTCACTAGGAATTAAGATGCTGCCAACGGAATTTCCACAGAGCTTCGACAGAGTTTTCATGCGTTTTCGGCGGACGAGGTTCTGCACGATTTCAGTGATTTGGATGCGGGAGTTCCAGAAAGTTTCAATGATTTTTTCTAGCTTTCTCGATTGACGAGGTTCTGCTGATTTTGAAGCCGATTCTAGATGTTGCCAATGTAGGTTTTAGGAAATTTCGATTAGCGTTTTCTTCCGTTCTTGGCGAACCGAACACGGTTTCAGTGGCGATTTCTGATGCTGCCAGAGGAGGTTTCGGGGAATTTCAACGGAGTTTTCTTGAGTTCTCAGGGGAGGAGGCTTTATACGTTTTCGGTGGAGATTCCCGATGCTGCCATTGGTTCCAGTAGGTTTCACCAGGTTTCGTTGAAGATGTCTGATGCTGCCAAACGAGTCGAACAACAAAACAGGATAAATCCTTTCATGCATACATGCATGTATTGGTAGGAGCTGTCGCTTAGATCTACATGCAACAAAAATATACTGAGAAAATGTATTAAATTTTATTTTGATGGCTAAAAATCTATTTAATTTTTTAAATTATAATAAATGTATCACGATTGATCTGCCCGTAGGGTGTAAGTGATTTTGATTGATTCTCTTCGTCGTGCTCAACTTTTTGGCTCAGCTTTGGTACTATCTTCGGTTCCAAGCTAATCGATGCACCCCTCGAAACATAGGAAAATCCACGAACCCCTTATTTTATCTGTCAAACTTTCATAGCGAATCAAAACAAACATAGTGTAGTACTAGAATTTCGACTGGAATAGGGCACACTTATAGATGTACTTGAGACCAATAGGCTGGTCAAGTAGTGAGCCAATTTTAAATCGTTAGTTTCCAACCGGTGATAATACCCTATTCCCAAGGAAGTCGAGAAGTTTTCCAACCTGAAGAATTCTTTGAGTGGACCGGAATGAGAACACAGCCACCTCCAGCATGACCTTAATTCTAGCTGTGCTCCTTTATCCACAAATCTAAGATACCATCAGACTTTTGGAACAAATATGTTTTCTTCAGACCTAACCAACAGATTCCAAATTGGTAACCATGCTCCCAAACTTGGTGAGAGCGGAAGCGAGAGAAGATTCCAATTCTAAATTAATGGCGGCAAGCTCCAACTCAGATTAACTTTTAATACAGTCCCTGTTTGTAAAATATGCTAATTTTGGATCGACAATACCGGTTATTTATTTTGAAGTTCGTTCGACAGCATTATGAACGCAAGCCTTTGATATCGTTTATGTTTTTTGCTATACATTGATGAGTTTCATAAAGGTGTCGTATGCAAATTAAGACCAACAGTTGAAAAGGCCTCAACTTCATTTTGTAAACAAAGTTTGTAAGGCCATTTTCTTGCCAACCGAAACCTACATTCGCAAACCTAAAGCACAATTGGGTAGAGGAGAATTTCGGCAAACATACTTTTGAACATAAAAACCAATAAATGATCCATAAAATATTGGAAAACGTTCCATAAAAAACATCCAAATGTTCCATAAAACTTCGGAGAAAATCCTTAAAAAAGTGTGAATGATCCATAAAAAACATCAATATGATCCATATTTAATGTAAAATTTAGCAACACAATTGTAAAAATGTACCGCTAAATTTCTAAGGAATGAGCATTGAAATTGTACGAATTACCCATAAACATAATGCAATTGATCCATAATACATTCAGCAGTGAACCTTAAACTAAAGAAAGTGATCCATAGAAAATCATGTTTGCGCACTTAAAAATATAGCCATGTTCGTATTAATTAATTTAATTTAATGAAATCAACTTCCTCAGAGCAGTCTCGTTATGGACAGTTGGAAGCTGAAATAGGTTTTATTAAACTAATATAAAATCAAAATCAATCTTAATGCTTATAAGGTGGCAAAAGGAACCAAGAAGTCTGTCTCAAATAAACCACCTAGCAGAAATAATAGAGTGAGGAGTGATGCCGCAACCGAATCTGGAAAAGGAAGTACCAATGTGGTCAGCCTGGAAGAATCCCTAGACCAGTTGCTGCAGGAGAAAAGCGCAAATAAGAAAGCGCTGGAGGAAGAGAAACTCCTCCATGAAAAGCGATATGAGGCTGAGTGGGAGGAACAAATTGTAGGTTACCAGATTTTAGGATCAAATTGTAGTATCTAGATTAAGCAAATATAGGGTTATTAAATTCAATATTTGCACGAATTCCACCTCCAACTAACCTACTTCAGTAGTTACATAGAGGTAACTTTAAGACCAGAAGGTCCCGAAGAACTGTGCTCAACTTTTTAGCTAAGCTCTGGTACTATCTTCGGTCCCAAGCTTATCGATGCACCCCTATAAAACACGAGAAAATTCACGAACCCCTCATTTTAGCTGTCAAACTTTCATAGCGAATCAAATCAAACATTGTGTAGTACTAGAATTTTGACTAGAATGGGGTACGTTAATCGATTTGTTTGGGACCAATAGGCGAGTCAAGTAGTTAGCCAATAAAAAATCGTTAGTTTCGTATTGATTGTTGGTAGCTAGTTCACTACAAATACAATTTAATTAAACGATTGGTTATTAACAAATTTAGGCAATTAAAATAATTTAGCTGTAAAACGTTTTTTAGATGGTTTGGAACTGTATCTTCTTTTCCTCTTTTTTTTCTCGTTCATACTCCGACCTATCTAAGGTTTGGTTCAACGGAACTGTGAGTTCACAGTTCCGTTGAACCAAACCTGACGTCTGTCATTTCTGACAGTGACCGTTACCGTAGCTCTCTGAATCTCCCACAGGGTTGTCACTGGGTTTGGCGGTACAGGGTTATCCCGATATTCCGAACAGCCATGTTCCATAAATTAGACGTATATTATTCACGTTTTGGACACTGTATTATTAATTTTGATCCATAAACCATGAAAAATTGCTCCATTACTGCTTAACTACTTAGATTTACTGTCCTGCCGTGTTTTTAGGTAGAAGAGCGGAGCGATGGTCAAGCGTCTAGAATTAGCTTCCAAAAGAAGCTTCTATAATAATCTTCTTAAGAAAAAATGAAAAAAAAAATGTTAATTTTATGGATCATACCTAGGGTAGGTGTTCCAGTTGTTGGTAGACGTGCTTATTTTGATGTGTTCCAATTATAGTCTATATCTCGATCTATATACATATGTATGTTTTTTTTAATTTGATCAATAAACCTTGGAAAATTGCTACATTACTGCGTAGCTACTCAGATTTACTGTTCTGCCCGTGTTTTTTTTTTGTCAGAAGAGCAGAACGATGGGCGAGCGTCTAGAATAAGCTTCTTAAAAAGTTTCTAAATGAAGCTTCCATAGGAAACGTCTTAAGAATATTATTATAGAATCTTCTTTTGGAAGCTAATTCTAGACGCTTGCCCGTCGCTTCGCACATCTACCTTAAATACACGGGCAGGACAGTAAATTTAAGTAGATAAGCAGTGGATCAATTTTTCAAGGTTTATGGATCAAAATTTTAAAAATAGTGTCCTAAACATGAATAATATACGACTAATTTATGGATCATGCCTATATTTTTAAGTGTGCAAACTTGATTTTTTATGGATCACTTTTTAGTTTAAGGTTCATTGCTGAATGTTTTATGGATCAATTGCAATATGTTTATGGGTAATTCGTACAATTCCAATGCTCATTATTTAGAAATTTAGTGGTACATTTTTACAATTGTGTTGCTAAATTTCAAATAAAATATTGATAATATTGATATTTTTTATGGATCATCCACACTTTTTTAGGGTTTTTCTCCGATGTTTTATGGATCATTTGGATGTTTTTAATGGAACGTTTTTCAATATTTTATGGATCGTTTTATCAATTCTAAAGGTGCAAAGTTAGGGCTGCCGAGAATTTCCCCTACCTGTTAATTTTGTTGATTTGCTTTGGCGG